GGGGGGGGGCATTCATTGTCGCCCTCAAAATCGAAACTTATTGCCCACTCTGGAACAGTCTACCTAGTTACACGGAGTTAACCCGATCCCCACGTCGGAACCTGGCAGCCTATTAGTCATTCCAATGAGCCTGATGGAGTCAGCAATACGGCACATCGAGCGGCACAGCTCGGGTAAGGTCGCTGAAGTCTTAAGATTAAGACAGGTTCTCAAAAGTAAAAGGAAAAGGATGACGGATTATACTCTTTGGGCGCGATCTTTAGCGTTCATCAAAAATGATGGGAATATCAAGTTCGATGACTCCGGAATAATCGAGACGAAAAGGTATCACCCTCTGGCCGTTTTCGAGACAGGAGAAGAATTGATCATCGAAATATGCAGAAGTGGTGTGGAACATGCAGGGGCTTCGTAGTAGGCATTTCCGAAGAGGATTTATATGAAAGCATCACCGCCGAGGCAAAACGCCGACTAATTTTATGAATTAAGGAGTGAAAGTGAATTGGGCACCTTTTTGATCTCGCCTTACGCGAAAGGACACTTTGACGATTTGAGCCGGGCATATTGGCAAGATGAAGTTCCTGACTGCAGAACAGTGATTATCCAGAAATTTCGTAAATCGAGTTGCCCAACTTCATAACCTGCGTTCAGTAGCCAAATAGGAGTCCTGATCTGAAGTCCATGGCTCTCTTAGTATGGTTGAATTTGGGAGTAGAAGCATGCATTAGCCTATACAAGAATTCATATGGTTGCCTATACAAGAATTGATATGATAGATGCCTCGCAATAAGCCGGAGGCCATTTGTTTGTTCTAGCTGCGTGTCACCGTTGACTCCATTTGGTCGTCTTCGGGCTTCAGTGAGAGCAAAAGACAACATATCTTGGCTATAATTTACTATTTTAATGAGAGATTAGTGATAAATACTTTTTTGCAATTGGTTCGTTTTATTAGCTTCCTATTCGTTTTTGAGTAATCATAATTTTTGCCCATCCATCACATCATCTTTATTGATTACGCTGTTATCATGATTTTCTTCACAGCATCCTCCGCGCTAGATTCTGTTTCTCGGAGCAACGGAGAGCTTTGAAGTTAGAGTTAGAGCTTGGACAAAGAACCCCATGTCCGTCATTAGTTGGAACCACTTCTGTCCTTTGAAAATTTCTGGGGAAGATTTTGTTATTGACAACAATGATAAAAATCATAACTGGGTCGTCGACCATCTTCACGATAGTGCTAGGAAAGTAAAGTCCACAAGCAGCCATGGGTCAAGAATCGTGAGCTGATACACAGGCTTGATATCGGACCGGCTATAGGAAATCATCAACAAGCGTCTGAACATGCGAAGCTATGCTGGGAAGTAGTAAGGGAATTTTTGAGAGAGAGAAGGGCAGCTGTTCTGACTGAAGTAGCTGAAATCGGAAAGAGCGTTCGCAGAGCCCGCCGGAGCTTCGCTGCTTACAACGCAAAATGACCTCACTTCATCGTAATGGAGGAACAAACACTTTCTGCATCTCAGACGGCGATGAAGAAGGTCAACTACAACTTCTGCTTAGACACTTCGACACCAACGTCAACTTGCTTGCCTAGCATCTTGGGCAAGATGGACATGTCGTTATTCTTCTTCCTTCCGGGATTGAGCATGCCATGGCTTCAAAGANGGAATTATACCGTGCTCGGTCCCTAGATGATCGAACCAGAACACCTAGGGAGTCTCCCAATGCTATCGCCAGGATTCCGGCTAGGCTCTTCACGCGTTACTAGCCTTGAAAGCACAAGTCTCGATAACTAAGGTTTTTTAGGTTTACCCTCACGATTACTCAGTGGCTCCTAAGGGTAACAGAAAGGACGCTGTTGAGCCCAAATCCAAACAGGTAGGGCATAATAAGAGTCCAGTCACCGTATCGGATGGATGCCACGTCCATCGACTTTGTTATTAAGACGAATACGTCAGAATTGTCGAGGTGATACAGGTTACGCTGTTCGCACCAGAACCTACACGCTCATGATGCAGTGGTGAGGTGATTTTTACTCTTACTGTGTTATTCTCTGCTATTCTTTTTGCTGCAGCGGTTCTTTGTCATGTTTTCTACCTTACAGGATGAAAAAGGTGAGTGATTTTTGCTGGCAAAAGTGTTTTTATTAGCTTATGCCTACGGATCAATTAATTTCAAAGCGTACTTTTGTTCAGTGTTGTCATAATAATACCAGGACCCTTACGCAATGACATGTATTGCATAGCTCACCCAAATATCCCTCTACTTCAATTTTTTGGTCTTGTTCTCATACAGCTACCCTTCCAACAGATATTGAGAGGTCTTTTATTCCTTTGGAAACACCGATTCGCGTGCTCCTGTCGCCTCCATCGCACTACTCCCCATCTTTTTTTCCATTTTCCGTCATTAACTGAATAACCCGAAATCATCGTGAACAGTGCCTTTATGCAAATTGCCCACGTCGTGAAAAACTAGCAAGACTGTGTTGTTGTATACGAAGGGGATCCCGGCAACTATCGCCTAACCTACCTGCTTCCTCTGACTTACAAAGACTTCACACAAGTTATCATCAACAAGTTTGGGAGAATATTAGATGAAGGACAGCCATTCAGCAGGCTGAGTTTCGAAGGGCTCGATGCCATCGATCATATCAACATTGTCGCAGGACTCGCTGAGAGTTTGACGTCTATTGTATTGAACAAAGTCACCGAGACCATCCAGACAGAAGTAGTGATTGAAACTTTGGTCAACCATGTGAGCTCTTCGACAACTTCATTATAATTTTCGCCATTCCACAAAGAAGTCACTGTGAAGGTGATGGGTGAGGTTCGACTATGTTTTTCGCCAAAACTTCTTAGTGTAGTTTCAAAAACATTGTCGGGAGCTTTGTTTGGATAGGGATATTTACCATCACCTTTAACTTTATTTCATGTGCAGTATACAGAATGGAACAAAAATAAGCAACCACTGAATCACAATAAGCAAACGGCAACACGAACACAATTAACTAGTGAAAAACTACTGAAATTATTATAAAGGACGGTATCGAGATAGTAAAAATGAACAAATGAACAGATAGTAAAAATGAGCCAAGAAAAAATAGAATGATCAGATCAGCACATAAGCTTTGAAATTTGACTTTCATTTAAGATCGCTATGCAAGAACTGTTTAATCGAACCATAATTCTGTTGATAACAAAACCTTACTGGAAATTTTAAGATAATCAGCTGAAGTCCTGGCCATGATGAACATGACCCTGATTATGGTTCGCGATCGAAGAGCTGATAGCTTGAATTCGCTCATCTAATATTGGAACACCGAATTTACAAGAATTTGTGATATTGGACAGTTAATCGTCCTAGGAAGATTCGAAGAGAGTAATGAGATGCATCATCTTCCGCCTGACTAATAGAAAGTCCAATCCCAACATTCTATTTCTCACACACTTCTTGGTATTGCACTGTGTGTGAACCCAAAGCATGTGAAAAATTCTCCTTTTGAAATTCCTCCGAACATTCTAATTCGATCTTTCTGATTATCTTTATTGAATGCACGGAAAACCCGTCGTTCCATATTCTAGAATTGGGCGAATATAAGTTTTATACCTTCTAATTAGTACACGGTAAAGATTAAGTAAATAGACATCTTTGAAAAAGATAGAGTCGTTTCTCTGTTATATTCACTATAACCTAGCAAATGTATATCCGTATCAGATGTCAATTTATCATCTGACGAATCCCAAGTCCCTGACCTCTCAAACTCTACAAACTACAGAATCTCTAATGTGGTATGGGACAAGTACACGTTTCGGCCCTAGATGGGGAACAAAGAAGTTCCCATTTTTTCGAACAATCACTCACGGCATCAGTTGCGTTTTGAATTACGTCAGCCAATTACCCGCATGTAATATTGAGTGCATATAATATATTAGTCATAAACAATTTTTTGTTCATTTCTGATCATCGCCTGATTCGAATGCAAATGGTTGTTCGCAATAATGTCGGTCGTACCTCAATTCAGCCATATCGTTCTCCTCTAACCCACCTAGACCGTGAGTTGTACAAAGTTCGATTCGGTCTACTTCCTCATCAGCCCTGTCTTCAAAATGCACAGGAGGGCCTGCAAAAGTATTCGATCATTTGTAGAGGATGTCGCAGATGGATGCTGGTCCATCCAAACAGACCCTCCAAGAATCAGCTTCAGGACCCGAACTCTCCTCCCCGAGCGGATTACTCTACGAAATAACTCATCTTCAGTTGGTCGCTTCATACTCCACGATTTGCAAAGCAGCTAGAGTAGCCCTATTGTAGGATATTCGTCAGCGAAAAACAAGAATTGTACAAAAAGCAATTGAAAGAGGCAGAAGTATGGTTGAAGCGCAGAGAAAAGGGGTCCTTAGGAAAAAAAGACTGTTGATAAAGGAGAGTACTCACAACGGGCAACAGAAACCGCAGTAATTTCATATTACAACGAACTTTATAGATCAACAGTTAACCATCATCTGAGCATTCCCTCTTCTTTCAAACCTTGCCCTCGCTTCTCCTTGACGAATCGGAACATGATCTTTCCCTACTACGCCTTGGAAGATCTGCCGTCCAGATCGAATTTCCGCAGAGCAGGCGCAGATGACCTTATTCCAGAAAATTTAACGACTGCTCACGTAAAATTGTTGTCAAAAAAGGAGAGCCTAATAACGTAGGCAACTTCCGACCAATTTCGCTGATATCGGGAGTACTCAAAGCAGTAACGAGAGCCATCTTGAATCGCATAGACAAAAAACCAGGAATGTCAGAGAGCCCAAGCCAAGTCGGGTCCCTAAGAAACTACTCCACCCTGAACCACATCAATGTCCTCAAACAAATCACCGAAAAGAGTGCCGAATACAACTTCCCTGTCTACGTTGCCCTCATCGACTACAAAAAAGCATTTGACGGTTGGAGTGGTCCGCAGTGTGGACAGCACTTGCAAAAAGGGATGTTCATCCATAACTGATAGATATGCTACGAATACTTTACTAATCTTCTTCCACGTCCATTTTTGTTAACTCTCAATCAGTTACAGTCACCATGCAAAGAGGCATTAAACGGGGGAACACACTGAGCCCGAAACTCTTTAACGCCACCTTACAATTGGTACTGAACTCCATGGACTGGGGAGAATGTGGACTGAACAGGGAAGGATCCCAAGTCGAAGCGGCCATTTGAAATGAAACCTACACACCAGGACGTGTCTTTGGATGCTGAGTTCAAATCTGCTTTCCAAATTTGCCAAGCGCTTCTCTGAACATAGTTATGAGGGTTGTTTCAGGGAGCTTAACACGAGGAAACTCAAATTACATGGATGTGCCTCACTTCTAAACGGCGGCTTGGTGTAGGGGTAAGCATGGCGCTTCATGTGCGAGAGGCTAGGGTCCGGGTTTTGTGGGGCACGGGATTTTTGCGTTGTGTAGAATTTCCCCCTCGAAGGCTAAAAAATACACTCATGATGTTTTTATCACGTTTTATAACCTTTTAATGCTTTGTTGATACCTTCTCCTACCTGCCTATCTGTTACCGAGTTTGAGATTTCTCCGTGCGCAAAATTGGAGGTCTGGGCGAGTAAATTGCATATGATGAGCAGTGATGATGCTAGAGTGGGGGTTGATGCTATATTGGGTGCGACGGTTCGTAGCAGCTCCAAACACACCTACACCGGCACTGCTGATAGTGGACTCGAAGACTAGAAGCTAGTCACTGCGATTTACCTCCACAAAAGCAGGTGAAGGGAATGACACCCTGCTCGAGGCTTCCATGAGGCTGATACAGGCGATAAGGGCTTAATTCTTGATTCCTTTCAAAAATATGGTTAAATGCACCACCTGATATGAAATAGCCTATGATCTCAATTTTACGTGTACCCACGAGACCCCTTTCTTCACTTACTATCGCTTGCCTACTTCCACTTCTGTGAGGCTAGATTTAGGATATTCCCCTTTTATTCATGGTATGCCGCCGGCTACTTAAGCACTCGCCGGGGTGATTTCGAGACTCTACACAACTCTGTTTTCCTTCTGATTTGAGGTTAGTAAGTGAAAAGCATTGGGCTGCGACGAGTTCTTTTTTCATCCCTTGCTCCCTCCTTGTTTGAAGTGCTAGAGTATCACATTTGTTCATGGAATGGCAAAAGTTATCCTACAGTTAGTATCGAGTACATGGGCATGCCAGTAAAACTGAAGTATTATTATATTGTACTTTACGTGAATAAATATCAGCAAAAGCATTAAAAAGTCATAAAATGTGATGAAACTACCATGAGAGTATTTTCTAGCCTTTAAGGGAAAAATTCTATATAATGCGAAAATCCCATGCCCCACAAAGCCCTCTATATAATGCAAAAATCCAATGCCCCACAAAACCCGAACCCTAGCCTCTCGCACATGGAGCGTCATGCTTACCACTACATCATGCCGCCGTTGAAAAGTGAGGCACATCCATATAATTTAAAATTCCACATGTTAAGCTCACTGAAACCACCTTCATAACTCCGTTCAGAGAAGCGCTTGGCAAATTTGGAAAGCAGATTCGAACTCAGCATCCAAAAACATGTCCAGCAGTGTAGGTTTCATTCCAAATTGCCACTTCTACTTAGGATCCTTCCCTGGTAATTATTGGAGGAAGATTGCTTTCCAGTCTTGAATATGCAGACGACGTTACATTGCTGGCTTCCTCTCGTGCCATGCTCAAGAAGATGCTGTAACTCCTTTCAAATGCATCTACTAAGGTTGGGCTCCACATCAACCCAGAAAAGTCAAAACTACTGACAAGTAGTAAAACGTCGAGGCATCCTATATGTACCGATGGAAAATTCTTTGCCTTTGTTAATCACGCCCTTTATCTTGGTTGTTGCCTCCCCTTCCCACCAAATGGCTCAGCAGATGAAATAGCACATCGAATTCGATGCGGTTGGAATGCCTCCAGAAGACTTCAATATATCCTTTGCAACAGAACCGTCCCCTCCCATTGAAAAAGCATAAATTCGATACCTGTGTAACCCCGGCCGTACTCTATGGAGCGGAAGCATGGTCCTTACGGAAATCGGATATTAGAAATTTGTGCGTAGCCCAAGGGAATATGGAAAGGAGGATACTTGGATTACGTATGCTGGACCGATGGAGCTGTGAAAGGATAAGAGCACTCACGAAAGTCAGAGACTGGATAAACGAGGCTTCAAGGAGAAACCTCATGTGTGTAAGAAAGATACGTGAAATGGACAAGAGCGAACGGGCTCGCGTGATTACAACATGTATACCATATGACTACGTGGACCGAATAAGGGAAGGATACCCTTGCATTCGATGGCGCGATGATTTGTAGAAGAAGATCGGGAAAACGTGGTGGAGTATGAAGAAGGAACAGTTCAATAAGGCCATGATATGGCATTCGAATATGAATTGATTCCGTAATAAAGTGTAAAGTGTAAATATATGAGTGTGCGTAACTTATCGCTACAATTATTGGCATTTGAGAACTCAAACCCCATCAATGTTCGCTCAAAATCATGAAGCATCAGTACACGTGACACTCTTAACTGGTGTCGTTAGCGCTCATCATAATCGCAATTTCAGGAGTTGCTTCTAGGTTGACGATTGATGCGGATGAGGCTAGTGCGAGATGTTTTGTCACGGCTGCCTTGAGTGGCGTTTGATAGTCGTACAGGGAAGCAAGGCTTGAATAACGATCCACAAAGTGAGTATGTAACGACTTATTCAATCACAATTTAGTGCTGTAACCCTTGAATTCGAAACATCTCCACAATAGTTCAGTACCTTGAAAGTCGTGTAACCGTAAGCATCTAAAAGTTACCTTGTAAAATCCGGAAAGGTTGAACTACGACTTAGAAACAGCAGAAAAACAGACAGCATTCTACCACTATCAACGAAAATTCCGAATTCGGGCTCATTATCTTGCCATGGCTGGAGTAAGCAACAATCTCCACAGAATCAGATACCTTATGGCTTGAAGAAAGTTGCGAAAGTAAAAATTGAAGAATTAGTTCATGACCTTGTTACCAGGTCGCACTGAGAGCGATTTGGTTTCAGAAGTGTTTCCCCAAAATTGGTTTAATGTATCGTAAAACGTAAACATAAAGCAACCTGTAAGGCGGATTGGTGGAGTGGCAAGTCACTCGTCACGCACGCATGGTCACGAGTTCGGGACTTGGAGACCAATCAAGCCTTCCATACCCAAGGGTCGCTTATCCGTACCAGACTCATCTGGAAGAATATGACCGCTGACTCATTCATCGGCTGTCCACCGCAAATGAATGTATACGCCAAATATGCATTCAGTACGACACTACAATTCTGATTGAATTCTAACGCGTGAAGGCATTCACAAACGGAATTGATTAACGCCCAAAGACTTTATTCTTTATCCTCTTGAAGTAGCGTCACCCACCATACTGGAGTTCACAGAATGTTGCACAGGAAAAACCGATGCTTTCTGAAACAAATACTTGATAAGAGCAGACAGGGCGGGGATAATTGCGTGAATAAGAGTTTTGAGATAAGCCTACGTCCGCACTCAGAATGAGCGCAACTTCGGATAAGTAAATAAAAGTAATTAATAAGTACACTTCAATTCCTGACGTAAAATCTATGCTTTGGAAAAATTAGAAAAGTCGTATCGTTACCAGTGGCGGACTCAGTTTGACAAGCCGGCTAACAATAAAACTCAGTCCAGCTCTCCTCTCCCATCGAGTTCTGTAGACACTAGACTAGACAGTAGACTAGCGAGGATTGAGCGAGCTTGATCAAAGGCGTTAGCTCGTAAAACCTTCATTGAAAGACCGGGAAGCTGCTGATCTTATGATGCAGCAGAATCATCCTGTCCTATGCCTGCAGAGAAATGAAGTGGAAATGAGCAAACGCTAGAGAGATCACGTGATATCAAGCTCTACTTCAGCTGAGAAGACCTTCACAAGGCCATCAGGCCAGTTTCGAAGGAGCAACGGGTGAACAGAGTGGACACGTTGGGAGAGAACGGAGAAGTTTTGAAAGTTATAATGAGTTATAATGAGGCAACGTAATGGAAGTCAGGAACAAAGAAGAAGAGATTCACACTGACCGCTGCGCACGACCTGGCATTCTGCAGCGAGTAGGAAAACTCGGAAGATTACTCACAGCTACGCTTACAAGTGGATCAATCTCAAAGCTGTAAAGGGCATAAAGGTACTGCATTAAGATAAGGTAAGGTCTGGCTTCACAGCACAAGCTTACCAGGAATAACCATCGACCTTCCTAAAAAAATCAAGAACAAGGACTGAAAGAGGATTCAGTGATGAAAGCTGCACCCGACACGAAATGAACACTACAAATATAATGTACTTGTCTGTAGTTCATATCCCAGAAAACTGTTTCGACAGATCTGAAACAAGGCAGTGAGATTCATTCATGTGCAAGGGGATCGAGATGGAGAGGAGAAAAGGACGCATGGTTGTGGAACGATAAGGACCAGTGAGTTCTGCGGCAGAAGAAAGTATTTTACAAACGTTGGTGAAGGACGCAAGCTTCATAATAATTTTTATAATTATCTACACGATTTCCAAAAGCTCCCGAGGGCAAATGTAGCGATGGGAAAGGATACGGAGACAGAAACCTCGTTTGGGAAGCTCGGTGATCGATGGAAAAGAAAGAAGTTCATCTTTTGGTTTGAGAAAGCACGGAACCGGGGTACCCAGAAAGTCGAAGTGGTCATGCCCGTTAAATACAGCAGGGATGCAATCTTAGAGGCACGGTTCACGATAAAAATGGTTACTGAGTTTTCCCTCAGGAATAATCAGTGGCCCCCATTTCGCTCACATAATCTCGACGGTCAGGGCATAGTGGAAGCCTTGTTGCTATCTTGATTCGCTTTCCCGCCTCTCGATCGATGTCGCGTTAGACGAGTGTCGAGACAATACAGATTGCTATTATTCGTTTTAGGACCCACACACAATCAGCTGATCGCCGAGGG